TGGCTATGATATATCCAACAAAGGCCTAATCTCTAAAATCTGTAGGAAAAGCCAACACTTACACAATAAAAAGACAAATAATCCAATTAAAAAATGGGAAAAGGATATGAACACACACTTCAAAGAAGACATTCAGGCAACTAACAGACACATGAGGAAATGCTGGCAATCATTAGCCATTAGAGAAATACAAATCAAAACTACAACAAGATACCATCTCACCCCGACATTACCAGCACAAATCAAAAAAACAGAAAATAACAAATGTTCAAGAGGCTGTGGGGAGATTGGAACTCTTATGCACTGCTGGTGGGAATGCAAAATGGTACAACCATTTTGGAAAACAATATGGTGCTTCCTTAAAATGCTAGAAATAGAAATACCGTATGATCCAGCAATCCCACTACTAGGAACATATCCTAGAGAAATAAGAGCTGTCACACAAATAGACACATGCACACCCATGTTCAGTGCAGCATTATTCATAATAGCAAAGAGACGGAAACAACCCAAGTGCTCAGCAACAGATGAATGGATACACAAACTATGGTACGTACACACAATGGAATACTACGAAACGATAAAGAACAACAATGAATCTGTGAAACATCTCACAACATGGATGAATCAGGAAGGCATTATGCTGAATGAAATAAGTCAATCACAAAATGACAAATACTGTATGAGACCACTATTATAAACACACATGAAAATGTTTCCACATAGAAAGAAACAATCTTTGATGCTTACAAGGGAAGGGAGGGGTGGGAAGGGAAAAACACTAACTAGATAATAAATAAGTGGTAACTTTGGTGAAGGGTAAGACAGTACACAATACTGGGGAAGTCAGCACAATTTGACCAGGGCAAAGTCACAGAAGCTTCACAGGCACATCCCAAATCCCTAAAGGACTGAGCTACTGGGCTGAGGACTGGGGACCACGGACTCGGGGGACATTAGCTCAACTGGCATAACATAGTCTATAAATAAAATGCTCTATATCCGACTGTGGTTGAGTAGCGACTAGGGTCTTAAAAGCCTGCAAGCGGCCATCTGAGATACATTTACTGGTCCCATCCCAACTGGAGCAAAGGAGAATGAAGAAGACCGAAGATACAAGGGAAAGATTAATCCAAAGAACTAATGGACCACAACTACCACAAGACTACAAGACCGAGCCCAGAACAACTAGATGATGCCCCATTACCACCACCAACTGCTCTAGCAGGGACCACAATAGAGGGTCCCAGATAGAGGAGGAGGAAAATGTAGAATAAAATTCAAATTCACACACACAAAAAAGACCAGGCTTGCTGGTCTGACAGAGATCGGAGAAATCCCGAGAGTATGACCCCCGGACACCTTTTTAACACAGTACTGAAGTCATTCCTGAGACTCACCTTTCAGCCAAAGATTAGACAGGTCTATAGGGCCAACAGGAACACATGTGAGGAACGTGCTTCGCAGTTCAATCACATACAGGGGACTAACGGGCACACCAGCCCAAAAGCAAAGATGAGAAGGCAGGAAGGGACAGGAAAACTGGACGAATGGAAACAGGGAACCCGGGGTGGAGAGGGGGAGAGTGTTGACACATTGCAGGGTTGGCAACCAATGTCACAAAACAATCTGTATACTAACTGTTAATGAGAAGCTAATCTGCTCTGTAAATTTTCACCTAAAGCACAATAAAAAAAAAAGAAGGCTGCAGGTGGAACCCGTTTGGAGGTAGGAAAATCAAGAGCTCAGTTTTACACACACTGATTTTAAGATACTAGACATCCAAGTGAAGATGTCAGATTGGCAGGTGGATATTCAGGTGGAGATGGAGAGACAGGTCTAGTTGGAAGTAGACTCAGGAATCACCGGTTACATGGATGATATATGAAGATGATCTGAATGAGACCACAAAGGGAGTGAATGTCGATGGAGAAGAGCAGACAACAAAAGACTGAGACCTGGGGCACTCCAACATTAAGATAACCTTCAACATTAACCAGGGGGGTTACCCCTGCTCCTCTCCTCACCCTCGAAAACTAATACTAGGTAAGGCACCAGATTCCTCAGAGTACTTGCCCACTGAAGTGGACATCAGCCCTGCTTCCCCACTTCTTGAGAATGCTTAGAGGGGCCTTACAGATTAAGTTAGGAGCACTAACTTAATAGTTAAGCACTTGGCTGCTAACCATAAAGGCTGGC